ACCTCGGTTTGTTGACCCATCCTTTCCACCTTGGCTCCACACTCCCTTGTCTCCTTCATGGACTGTCCTCCCACAGTCTCTGCTGGGATCTCTCATCCCTTCAGCTCCTGGTTTCGCTATGGGCTGTGCTTCAACCCTCCACCTCTTTGGCTTCTCCGGGTTCTACCGCACTCTTTTGAGCCCCTGGCTTCACCTCGGTCCCACAGTCTTGCAGCTCCTCCTTGGTTATCCCGACCATCTGTGTCTCCCTGGGTCTCCGGCTCCTCGGTTCTGCCTGGGGCTCCATTTCTCCCAACTCCAGCTCAGTCTGAGGTGGTTCCGCCTGGGCTGACCACTGAGCCTCCACTCTGGCTCCTTCCTCCATCGGCTCCTCCGTCACTGGCTCGTCCGTGCTCTCTTCCACCACCATCACCATCACCTCAGTGGACTGTTCCAGCTGGGGGTCCTAGCCTCCTTCCCACCTCCTCCCCCATGGTTACTACTCCTCCTTTCCACCGTTCAGGTGTTGTGACAGGAGGCACCTGCTGGGATGGGGATGTACCATCACAGTTTTGCTCTGTTTTAAGGACTTTTAGTTTGTTTTACATTGTTTTACTATGTTTTGCCCTTTTTTTATTCCCACTGCTCATTTGTTGTCAATGTTACCTGTTATGTCTGTTTCTAGTTTCAAGTCAAGTCACCTTTATTTATATAGCGCTTTATACAATACAGATTGTGTCAAAGCAACTGTACAGCATTAATTAGGAAAATAGTGTGTCGATAATGCAAGAGGACAATAGTAAACACTCAATTTTTCAGTTAAAGTCAGTTAAAGTCATTTCTCTTTCAAAACATGTGCAGTGTCACATTCCTAAATATTTTGGGGTTGAATGTGCAAAAATGTCTAAACAAATATCTAAAGAAAAAAACCAAAAACTTTCATAATAGTGTTACATAATAGTGTTGTAAATAGAGAACATAAATGGATTTGATAAGAGAAGGCATTTTAGAACAAAACTACAGCGTGAAAATAGCATTTAGGGAGAATTGTATTTTAAATTAAAATGTCAAATTGGCAATTGATTTTTTTTCTTCTTTTTTAATAAACTAACTTTAAAAGTAAGTCTGTTTTGTCACATACTATGACTGAATTAAGTGGCGTGTTAATTCGTAGTAAATCATATGGCAGTGATGACTGAACACTTTTATTGTTCAGCTGCTCACAGCCTCTGGCCCTTCACAAGTGAATAAAGACATTATTGAGTCTCTTTGGGCCATTTTTGCTTTTGAGGACAAGTTGTTATTTGAGTTGTTTTTAATGAGGTAACTTTTTGCAATTTCATCCCCACAAGTATAGCTGGATGATAAACAAACACACTCACACACACACACACACAC